GCGCGCGGGAGCGCCCCGCCCCGCCCAGCCCGCCGGCCAATCGGCGCTTTGCAACGCCCGCAGCCGCCAGGCGGCGCCCCGCGAGCTCACACCCTGACAGCCAATGAGCATCCGGCCTCCCGTGGGGTCTCACGCCGCTGGCCAATGAGCGCTCACTCCCGCATGAGGTTACACCCCGACAGCCAATGAGCACCCAATCGCCCATGAGGTCACAGACTGCTGTGGGATGTCACACACTAACAACCAATGAGCATCCCCCTCCCCTATGAAGTCATGTGCTGCTCCAGGATGTCACACCCCGCTGGGCAACAGGCTCTCCACTCCCTCAGGAGGTCACAGCCTGCCAGCCAATGAGCACCCTCCTTCCCCATGAGGTCATGGGCTGCCCGAGGATGTCACACCCTGCCAGCCAATGATTGTCCTGCTCCTTGTGAGGTCACAGGCAGCCCTGGGATGTCACACAGTACTGGCTGATAAGCACCCTGCTACCTCATGAGGTCATGGGTCATGCTAGGAGGTCACTCACAGCCAGGCAAGGAGCATGCGGCTCCCTGTGAGGCCACGGGCTCCCCAGTGAGGTCACACAGCGCCTAGCGGGTAAGCACACTGGCTCTGAAGTGAGGTCACGGGCTCCCTGATGAGGGGATCGAGCCCTCTGCCAACAAGCACCCAGTCCCCCACAAGGCCACACAGTGCTCAGCCAGTGATCGTCGTTGCTGTTCCATGATGTCACAGGGACCAACCAGCTTCCCCAGGGAGGTCACGGGGAGCCCAGCCAACCACTACCCCGCCTCCGCATTAGGTCACACAGCGCTCAGCCAACAGGCCTGCCCTCCCTGCATGAGGTCACAGGCTGCCTGATGAGGTCACAGGGCACAGGCGCCTTTGGGAGAGCGCCTAGCCCAGCCAGGGGCTCCCGCCCCGCGCCGCACAGCGCAATTACACCTCACCCAGATCTCGCCCGTAGTTAATGAGAGGCGGCGATAATTAAAGCTCCCGTTCCTAGCGGAGCCCGGCTCCCGCGGGAGGCAGGCGGGGCCGGGGCGCCCCCATGGCGGCTCCCCGCGCCCCAGGGCCCGGCGGGGC